CCTCCCCCTCCCCCATCACCCCTCCCCCACCTGGGTCTGGTTACCCAGGCCTCCTGCAACCCAGGCAGCCTTGAGCCCGAGGAAGTCTCACTCCTTGCGGCAGAAATTACAAAGCATCCCCAGGCGGGAGGCCTGAGGCCCCAGGGGCTCCCCGCCAGCTGGCTTGCCTGGCAGGGCCACGCCTATTCTGGAACCTTCCCTCCTCCCCCGCTCCCGAGGGGCGGTAGGGCGTAGCCACCTGGGTCAGCAGTGACTGCAAGGCCTCTGCTGGCCTCACTGGCAGAGCCGGAGCGTGGGCAGAGGCGGGAACAGAAAGCTTGAGCCATGGGAACCCAGAGGGACTTTGGATGAAAGCCCGAGGGGGCAGGAGGCTCCTGGACAGTGGTCCTCACGGGGTCGTGGGCCTGGAAGAATGGACAGGGAGGATGAACAGGTGCCCCAGCCCACAGGGGTCCTTGCTTGTTAATGTAGGAGGGGTGGAGCCATGAGCGTCAGTGGATGCATTTACCAGGTCCTAATTCCTGGAGGGGACAGGGCATTACCCCGGAGAGAAGGAAGCACCCCCAAGCCCAGCCCTCTCCTCCAGCTCCAGAACGGGGGCTCGGGGCACTAGAGGAAACTGCCCTCCTTCCAGGACCCCTGCCCACCTCCTGCATCTCTGCCCTGAGACGCCTCCATCAGCCCCGCTGCCTGGCCAGGGCTGGGCTCACCTCCAGGCCCCATGGAGATGGAAGCTACCCAGCTGCCCTCCCCAGCTCTCCCCCAAGTGCCTTGGAGAGCAGGGAGTGTGTTTAAGATGCCCCTCCACCCTCAGGAAGCCTCAGGCAATCCTGTGCGGCCCATCGGGACCCAAACCATTAGAAGTCCAGGGAGATTGTTTTCAAGGTTGGAACTGTCTGATGGTGGCGGTGGTACTGCCCTTGTCCCCCGCCTTGTTGAAGCAGAGGCGTTAAAAACTGCCTGCTGAAGATGTCATCAAAAGGAAGCCGGGATCTTCCGGGGGCCTGGGGGGGTGTGGGGGATGGGGGATGGGGATTGGGGGGCATCTGACCATACTTGCCTCTCAGGTCACTTCCCACCTGTGTGGGTCTCAGGCCTCACCCAGGTGCAGGGGCAGTAAAACAGAGCATCCCAAAGGCCCAGGGATGGACGGGTCATACCTGGTGTGCGAACAGAGTTCCGTCCATTTCAGGGTCACCGCTAATGCGGACAGTGTGGTTTCCCAGGGCCTTGAAACCCAGAGAACTGAACCGTATCTTATTTCCTTCCTGTATTTCCACAGATTTGACCTGTCTGATAAGGATTCCTTTTTCGACAGCAAAACCCGGAGCACGATTGTAAGTATCACAGGCGCCTGGAAACAGCTCACCAGCAAGGTGGCCCTGGGGAAGCAGATGATAATTTCATTTTGGTGAAACTCCTCCGGGTGGAAGCCGGCTCTAATTGTCTGTGACAGAAATAATTAGAATAATGAAAGGGAGAGGGCAACGAGGGGCCCAGGGGACAGCCGTGCCCCAGGCTGGGGCAGCTCGGAGGAAGGGAGGAAGCTCGGAGCTCGGGAAAGCAGGAGGGTCGCCAGCCCCCCGGAGTGATTTCAGAGGTCTGTGTTCCCGAGTCTGTGCAGCTCCTAGCACATGCCTCAGAGCCTCAGAGCCTCCTCGTGGTGGGGTTGTGTGGGCCTGACCATGAGGCCACAACTGGGGGCTTTTGGAGCAGGGAGGTGGGTGCAGGAGGCGGGTGGGGGAGGCGAAGGCGCATGCGTTAGGGTCTCTTCCCAGGCCTTTTCCAGAGGAGCCAACCGAGGTTCGCATTCTGACCGGGCCACCCTGCCCTACCCAAGGCACTGCCTTTGTGTTTATCCATCGGCCGCCAACCTGTCCACCAGCCAAGCTGGGGCTGTGCCTGGCTCAGGACCCAACTTCTATCGAAACAAGAAATGAACCTGGCAGCCAAACTGCTGCCGTGTTCTCTCTTCCCTGCCCAGAAAGCCCAGCCTGGCCGGGCAGAGACAGAGGGCTGGGAGGAGGCAGCCGGGGTGACCTTGTCCAGACGACTGCTCCTCATGGCCACCACCTGAGACTGGCAGGCAGCCAGCAGCAGGGCGGTGCAGGTCACATCAGCACGGGGGGTTCTGAGCCACTGCCGGGACAGGCAGATCTGGGGTGGGGAGGAAGGGCAGTTTCTCCCAGAGACCCCGGAGGCCAGTTCCTAAACGGCCAACGTGCTCCAAAGAAACTGACAGTTCATAGCATTGGCCTTGGTTAGTCAGGCCTCAAAATCCAACAGCATGCAGGGTTGGCTGAGGTTCTAAGCAAAGGTGTGGAGGAGTGACAGCCCTTCCCCACTCCTCTCCACCACACCGTTCACTCCGTCCTGGCACTGGGGTGGCCCGGGGTACAAGTGGGTGGGAGACGGAGACCAGCAGTGCTTAATAGTGATGGGCCCACTGTGCTTGTCGTGGATCTTAGACTTTCGGCCTGTAGGCACTGGGGAGCCATAGAAGGTTGTGGAGTACAGTTGAGGGTATGCTCAGATTTGTTCTAGAAGGATCGCTGCCAGAGGCCAGCTGCGGGAGGCCAGATGACTGGTGGAGGAGAGGCCATGGCAGTGATCGTGGATGGGAGTCATAGCTGTGTGTGGAAGGGAGGAGGTGGTTATAGGAGAATCAGCAAGGTCAGGACCGATGAGATCTGAAGGATGATGGGGAGGGAGCCATTGAGAGCAGCTGAGTGGGCGATTTCTTCCTTCATTCAGCAGGGATGTGTTGGGCACCTGCTGTGTGCCCAAGCCTGGTGTGAGGAAAGAGGTGCTGAGCGCATTTCTAATCTGGCAGGTGGGGAGGGGCAAGCCAAGCTAGAAGACAGAGCCACCGGGAGGGTGGTGGCTTTAGGGCCGGGGTGCTAAAGGGACCCTGAAGCTATTCCGATCTAAAGGGGACACATGTTTCTGGGAGAAGGACCAACCAGGGCAGAGGCCCTGCGGCTGCGGGAGTGGGTTTGGAAAGTGAGAGAGGCAGCCGGGGTTATTGGACGGGCGGGTCCCACGGAGGTGAAGGGGAAGAGCTCAGACCTCCGGGGCTTGGGGGCACTGGAAGGACGCTGGCCTTGCCCGAGAGACGAGGCAGGATCTGTGTGCTCTGAAATGCACATCTGTGCAGCAGGACCAGTTGTTCTCACCACACTTTACACATAGAAAAGCTGAGGCAGGGGGTGGCGATGTCACTGGTCCAGAATCGCACAGCTGCAAAGGGCAGAGCTGGTACCTGGGTCCAGTTAGTCGGACTCGTGAGCCAGAGCTGCCGAGGCCACCAAAGGAGACATTTCACTAGCCAAGAGGCACGCACCCGGGGTGGGATCCCTGCAGCAGGGCTCGGCCCAGGCACCAGGAACCCAGAGCCTGATGGCAGCCATCTCCTGCCACCACCGTGGGGAATGGAACCCAAGGCCTGACCCCCCACCGATCCCCCAGGGTCCTAGAACATTCAGGATTGTGCCCCCAAGCGGTGCTGTTTGAACTCATGTCTCAGCACTAGGGGACTGTCAACCCACCGGGCCGGGGACGGGGCCTAGCTGTGACATGGGACACCAGCACTAGGCCCAGGAGGGCCCTGCATTGCTTTGCTGGGGCCAGCAGCCATGACTCCCACGTTGGGAGGTGAAAGACGGCGCCTGCAGGTGCAGCTATGTCTCCCTGAGGACCTCAGGCCTCTGACATTGTTGAGAATCCCAAGCTGGGCCCACGGTCCCTGAATAAAGGCCACTGTCCTTCCTTGGAAAATAACTCAAGGAGGGCGTCACGGGTAACCAGGTCCGCTGCAGCCACAGCAGACGGACCGTTTCTGCTGGAGGGACGTGCCTGAAGCAACTGCTCACCCTCCGTCTTGTGTCTGCAACAGGTCTACGAGATCTTGAAGAGGACGACGTGTACCAAAGCCAAGTACAGCATGGGTAAGCACGTGTTTGGGGCTCGAGATCAGCGTTGCTTTCCAAGCGGGAATCTCACTCCGAGCCGTCTCTGTGGGAGGTTGGGCAGCCGGCTTGGGGTGTTGAAGAGGGTTTTGATTTAAGCCTGTGTGACAGTTTCAGGCTGGAGGGCTGGGTTGGGAGCCTAGAGTGCAGTTTTATGGCCCAGCACTTTTCAGTACAAAGGTAGCCTTCGCTTTGGCCGTTTGTGAGCGTGTGGACAGGCTCTCCCGGCAGAGGTGGTAAATCCAGTCTGGAAACAGACCAGCGCTAGGGGTGACCAAGGGTTCTGGGCCCTCTTTTGACCCTCACAGTCCAGCGGGAAATAATCAGGGTTTGGGATGGGGATCACCGTGCCTGTTCTGGACCCTTAAAGGCACACCAGGGCTCACTGAAAACAGTTCCCCTACCAGGCACCACCAGGCACAGACAGCCTAATTCCTGAAGCTGCCACAAAACCGTCCTGACCAGACTCCCTGGCTACCCGTTTCCAGAACCCCTTAAGCCATAGATACAAAACCTTCCCAGTTAAATTGTGTAGCTGGGGACCATCCCCCACAGTGGGTCCCTTGCCCACAGCTGCAGGCAGTTTGTGAAAGCCAAAACACTGCAGAGCCTTTTCCAGCCTTTCCTCCCCTGGTTCTTGAGCTGTTTTATCCCCTGCTGAGAGCCGTGCTAGAGGGTAGCATCCAGCACTCTGTAGAAGCCTCTAAAATGACGAGGCCAGGGCTCCCGGGGAACACAGCAGGGCTGGTGAGAGGTGGAGGCTGTGCATACGAGAGGGACCATCTTGCTGTCTTGGCTTCCCGTGGTGGAAGGAATGCCGTGGGAAGTAAAATGGAGAGCAGTGGGAGCCAAGGGCTCGGGACTTGAATTCCCAGGGTCAGGCCCAGGAGACAGAAAATGAACCCTCGACCACCTCTGGTGGCTGCTTGGCCCCCGATCATGTGGCCCGTGGTCACTCACAGGGATACCCTGGCAGGCCCAAAATCTCTAAGTCCATGTCCTAAGTCAACGGCAGTGTGGAGGAGTCCCATCCGGGGTCCAGAGGACTGAGAAACTCTCAAGTGACCAAGCCCTGGTCCACACGACTGCCTCGAGCTCAGGCAGAAAGGAAGGTGACGTCGGGAGTGTGGGTTTTTGAAATTGCTCCTCTAGGTCACCGCTGCCAGGGCAGAGCCTTGGAAAGGTCACTAGAGGTTAGGAGGAGGCATAGTTCTGGTCCCAGGCTGGGTCTGGGACCTCAGTTTCCCCCCTGGGTCCCTGCAGCATTTCTTCCAATAGAAACGTTTGTGCTTGCAGTAAAAGTCCAGGGTTCCCTGGGCTGCACAGCCCGGGCTGACTCTCAGGCCCTTGGGGACACAGGGTCTCCGTGTTCCCACCAGTTTTGTGGCAGGGCTGGTCCCCTGCACCTGGCAACGGGGCAGATAGATGCAGGTCCTTCTCTCCAGCCCTGCTTCACCGTGGCACCTTGTCTGAGAGTCCACCGCCTCTAAATTCATCCTCAATTAGGGAGGATTCCCATCACCCCCCAGGCTGTGTCCCTTAGTCTTGCAGGATGAGCAGGGCGGGGCTGGCTGGGGGATTTAGGAACTGTGCTGAGGGAAGGCCTTCCAGATAGAGGGAGCGGCACGTGCAAAGGCCCTGCGGCAGGCAGCACCAGGTTTGGAGCGTCCCAGCAGCAGGAAGGAGGCCGGCCAGCCTGGTCAGGCCCCAGGTCCACTTTGTATTGCAGACAAACTTTTCACTCACATGTGTGGCTGAAGCCCCTTCCTCTGAGTATCCTTCAGGTCCCCTGATTATTCCAGGTCACTGACCGCAGAGATGGCTCATTTTCAAGGGGATTTCTGGAGTCATTTTCCCACCACTATCAGGTGGCGTCTCAGAGGGTGGGTTGACCAGGCTGCTGTGAAAACCTGATGCTCTTACTCAAGAGGAGGCCCCTTCAGCCAGGCAGAGGGTTCCGTGAGCAGCAAAGGGTCCCATGGAAACGCCCCCACCATGCTGGGCCCCCGTGATGTGTTGGAGCAAGATCAGATTTCCAGGAGCCCCTTCCCCACACTTGGCCCTGGCTGTCCCGCCCTCTCTCACAGTCTCCGGGAGGGGCACCTGCATGCGCACCTGTTAGGATACGCAGGTGTGGTGTTTTAATAGTGCGCCCAGTGCAGGCCCTGGGGGTCTCCTGAAAAGGGGCCTCACCAGCATTCCACCGCTTCTGGGTGCACTGGACGGCCATGAGTCCGCCGGAATCGCTGGCCACCGCGCCTGCTGCCCCAAATGTGGCTTTGATCCTCTCCGGCCCTGCACGTCACTAATAGCCAATGTATAAACAGGGCAAGGCGAGGGAAGAAAGAAGGACTCCGCCCTTCTAAGTAAAAGGCGGAAATGTGGGAAGTATGGTAAGTGTGGGCCTCCTCCGGCTTTCCCAATCAACCTAAAATCTAATTCCGAATTGTATGTGTGTTTTCTGACACCATCAATTTTTCCATCCGTATATTTCCTCATGATTCAGCTTCTCTAACCACTTACAATCCACCTTCCCCATCTGCAGGCTTGCCCTGGACAGGTGGGGGGAGCCGGTGAATAGGAGGCTTGGGGGCGACAGAGTGAGGCCACGGTCTGGTCCGCTCGCACCGCCTGCCTCTGATTCGGAGCCGCCTCTCGGGGTTTTCTCTGTGTCTTCCTAATTCTGCCAATCGAGCATGTGTTTCGTCATCTCCTAGCCGATAGATCAATAACCCAGCTGTGCCCTGTCATTCCTGGGGAGGAAACCCCAGAAAGGTGTCCGGGCTCTGTGTGGCCAGGTTCGATTCCCTTTGAGAAGCTCTTGGTGGCTGAGACGGCCCCGTGACCACTGTGACTTTAAAATGTGAAGCGGAGACCCGCCTGCCCCATAACCTTCTCTCTGCCTCTGTTTTTAAGGCATCACGAGCCTGCTGGCCAATGGTGTGTACGCGGCCGCATACCCACTGCACGATGTGAGTAACCTTGACACACGGTGTATCTCTGCGTCATTTGACTCCCCAAATCCTGCCGGGCCACACCCCCCGGGGAGCTGTAATTACCCTGTGGTCACAGTTTCCTGCTTGGCTCTCACGGTAAATGTCAACCGTACACAGGCCTTCCCTGTTCCCCGTGCGAGGAACGAAAAGTCACACACAGGGCCATCTTTTCTTGCAGAACAATCCCACTGACACGAGGGCACGGCTGGCAGCTTTCTCTGAACCTCGCCGCCAGCCCAGCGAGTCCACACAGTGTCCTCCCAGCTCGGCCTCCTTGACCCCCGCTGGCCCAGGGCCCTGGCAGAATGACCGGGGATCTGTATGTGTCTATTTCTGCAAAGCAGTGGCCAGCTTCCTGAGCTGAATCTCCGGATCCCACTGGTCTCCCGTTGACAAATATAGTCTGCGTCCGTGGCTGGCTTGGGGTGGAGAGGGAGAGAGGACTGTCTTCTTCTTGTCCCTATGGAAACAGGCGCTCAAGTTCAGCAGGGCACTGGGAATGGGCCTCCGGGCTGGCGCAGTGTGGGAATCCCAGACAGAGGAGCTCTGAAACTTTGCAAATGTGCAAAGGCCGGGGGCCAAGAAGCAGGAGAGAAGGGACAGGCCTGGGAATAAGGGGACCCAGATTGTAGTCCCGGCCACTTAAACCCGCACCTCGGCCTCGAGTGGTGGAGGTCTTGTCTTACTGAGCCTCAGTGTCCCCATCTGTGGGTCAGGAAGAAATGCGACTTGTCCTAATTCTCCTCTTCTTTTTTTTTATTTTTTATTTTTATTTTTGAAATAGAGTCTCGCCACTCTGTCGCCCAGGCTGGAGTGCAATGGCTCGATCTCAGCTCACTGCAACCTCCACCTCCTGGGTTCAAGCAATTCTTCTGCCTCAGTCTCCCAAGGAGCTGGGGTTAACAGATGCCCACTACCACACCCAGCTAATTTTTGTATTTTTATTATTTTTTAGAGTCTCGCTCTGTCACACAGGCTGGAGGGCAGTGGCGTGATCACGACTCACTGCAACCTCCAACTCCTGGGTTCAAGCAATTCTCCAGCCTCAGCTGGGACTACAGGCACCTGCCACCACGTCCAGCTAATGTTTTGTATCGTTAGTAGAGACGGGGTTTCTCCATGTTGAGGCTGGTCTTGAACTCCTGACCTCAGGTGATAGGCCCGCCTCGGCCTCCCAAAGTGCTGGGATTACAGGTGTGAGCCACCACGCCTGGCCTAATTCCTTTCTTGTTGAGGAAGAAACACTGGGTAAATGTAAGGTGCAGGCATCGTGCAGGGCAGTCGGTCCAGGGGTGTCTTCTCCAGACGGTTGACCCCAAAGGAAAGAGTGTGGGCTGATCTCCCACCTGCCACCTCATCGCCTCTCTATCCAGGCCTCCTCCTCACTGTAGGTCCAGGGATTGGGGTTGAACAGCCCCGCTCGCTCCCATCGTGCACCCACACATGCTGTTCCTTCTGCTACGGCACTCTTCCCTGACTCCGCCCCACCCCACCCCAGGTGGACAGAGGCACCCACACCAAGCCTTTCTGTAGCCTTCCTCCCCAGGACTGGTGGCTTCTTCCTTTCTTCTCTGGGCCTCGGACGGTCCCTATCCTGCAAAGACACCACCGTCTGACCACCTTTGGTTATGTGTGTCATCTCAAGAAGCCCCAGCACTCAGCACTTAGTAGGTGCTCAATAAATGTGGTTTCGATTCAGATTGGATTGAGTCAGCTTGCCTCGGCCAGTGACCAGCAGGCCTGAGGAGCTTTCCAGGGCAGGCTGAGGCCCCGAGGGTCGTGGTAGTGGCTCCGGGCTCCTGCCCTGAGGCCCTGAGTCTGGAGGGGCCCACTCCTCCACTCTGTCAGGCTTTCCTCCTGAGGACCTGGCCGGTCCGGCTGTTCCGCCTCACCCTGTGCGGGCTCCGGCTGGGTGCCGGGAAGACAGCCCTGCCTGGCACAGCCCGTGACCCCAAGAAGGCAGCCTCCAGCTACATCCATGCTCCTGACTGGCCTCTTAGCAGATAATCCCTGCTGAGAGGTTGAGGCACAGAAGCCAAAATGTGTCTGGGCCTCCCACCTGTTTTGAGTCAGCCCTTTACGTCTTAAAAGGGAAAGGGGAGAAATCAACGTATCTGAGCACCTACTGTGTGCAGAGCCTTGTGTTTAGGAGAAACTGTACCTCATTTAGCCCGTGCAGACACAGAGACTCAGAGAAGTTTAATAACTTGCCTGAGGTCGCATAGCGCCTGTGGAGGAGCTGGGGCCAAAAGCGGTCCCACTGCTACGCCAGCCCCCCGCCGCGCCCCCACCTCATCCCGTCATGGAGGCCACATGTACCCCTCTTCTTGGTCGCCACGACTGCGTTTGTCTTGGGGGTTGACTGTCAGCAGTTTAAATTGACTGGCACAAAATTTCCTCATCAACTGGATCTGTTTACTGTCAGAAAGCCAGCCTCACAAGAAGCATCTCCAAGATCCGATAGAGAATCTCCTTTTTAAGAATCTTTGTCTCGCCTTATGCAGCCATGCGTGTCTGTTCCCACTTCTGAGACAGAGAAACAGGCTGGAGGGGCTCAGGCCACTTGCTCAGGGGCACATAGTCAGGAAGCAGGGGAGCTCAGAAGCCCCGGGCTGGGGGTGTCACGTATCCCTAGGGAATGTGGAATTTTACAGCCACAAATTTTCCTTATGTCTGAAGGGCACCCCTGCTGCTGATGTTTAAGCATGGGGGAGATGACTGGTTCTGGCCTGAGCGGCGTGCACCCCCGTCCTTACCCAGAACACTGATGGTGGAGAAGCTCAGATGGCCTCGCTGGCCATGGGGAGGCTCTCACTGCATGCTCTGTCGTTCTGGCTTCACATTTTGACTTCCCTCTTCCTCACCATTAAGCTGTCCTACACCCTACCCCGTTCCAAGCCTGTGCTGACTGCATCCATTCATTCATTAAGAATATCTGGTTGGCCAGGCATGGTGGCTTATACCTGTAATCCCAGCATTTTGGGAGGCTAAGGCAGGTGGATCATCTGAGGTCAGGAGTTGAGACCAACCTGGCCAACATAGTGAAACCCCGTCTCTACTAAAAATAAAAAAAATTAGCCAGGCATGGTGGTGCATGCCTGTAATCCCAGCTATTTGGGAGGCTGAGGCAGGAGAATTTCTTAAACCCAGGAATCGGAGGTTGTAATGAGCTGAGATCGTGCCACTGTACTCTACCCTGGGCGACAGAGCAAAACTCCATCTCAAAAAAAAACCAAAAAAGAATATCTGGCGAATGCCGTTGTCAGCCAGATAACAACCGGATAGAACTGTATGTGTGTAAGAGTCCCGTGCTCCTCGAGAGACCCCGAGGAAGTCTCCAGGCCTCAGAGCGTGTCACCTTTACTGAAAGGACTTTGATGTTGATGCTGGCCACTTTTCTTCCTGGCTGACCCCTCCCTGTCTGAGGTCACCAGTATACGGACTTCCGTATAAATGACATGCTGCTGGGATCGTGTGGCTGTCCCATCCATGAAAAGAAACTGGGAAACAGTAAAAGGAGTCACGGTTGAGTGGGTGAGGACCCTCTGAAGACTTAAAAGGAAATGGGTTAAACTGTTCTCAGAGCGTCTTCGTTCCAAGACCACCCACACTGGATTGCTTGCTTGAGTGTGTGGTCAAGTCGTCCCTGCCTGGCGGGGGTTGGAAGGGGTCATGCAAGTTGCTGGTGAATGGAGAGGACACTGGACAGGCCCCCAAGAACCCCAGAGCTTTATCTGCCTGGCTATTCTTAAAACCCATTGGCCAGGCCAGGCACAGTGGCTCACACCTGTAATCCAAGCACTTTGGGAGGCTGAGGCGGGTGAATCACCTGAGGTCAGGAGTTTGAGACCAGCCTTGCCAACATGGTGAAACCCCATCTCTACTAAAAATACAAAACTTAGCTGGGTGTGGTGGTGGGTACCTATCGTCCCAGCTACTCGGGAGACTGAGGCAGGAGAATCACTTGAACCTGGGAGGC